GGGGTTGATTTGATCCAATGAGATTGGAGACCGATGCTAATTAGGTCTATTGCTTTATGGTCTTCTGCGTTAATACATATTCTGTCTTCAAAAAATAGCCTACTGGCTGAGTTTGTTTCTTATCCTTTTTTTTTAAAAGCAGAAACACGTTTCGACGGCTCAATTTAGGAAAATATTTTGTCACAGATTGAAATTAAAAATACATGTAGGGGGCGGTCGTGGTCGGGATATAATTACGGTCTTTGCCTCTCATTCAATAGGTCCTGGGTTCGAATCCGGACAGTGATGCAAACTTTTCTTCTAAAAAATGTTCTCCTTTCACCTCTTTTAATAACCTGCTCTCTCTAACAAAGTTCTCCACTTTCTGCCCCCACCGCCTTACCTCATTTGCCCCCTCATTTGGGCTCCTGGCTCTTTCTGCAGCCTTTCTACTGCTACTCACTCCTTGGCTCCTAATTCTTACTGCTGTCTTTCAGCCTCATCCCTGATCTTATGATAAGTAAGATCTGACACCTATAGTCTTCTCGGATATAAAAGCAACAAATCTCGGAGGTCTTGTGAGTAAGTTGTGCACATTAAAGATCCCTTGGTGGTCCAACATCGGTAGGCATCGGCCATCATCCGGGCAAAATTAAACATTTCTTAATACCAACTGAAAATGTTTAATGTGTCCCGCTCGCTCATATGACCTTATGCAGTTGCGGGAGCCGTAAAACACTTATAAAAATAAAATGAAATAAAATAAAACAAAATAAAACGAAAAGAAACGGAGCAAAAAATACATGTTGACGTTTAAAATTTCACTTACATACAAAACAGTGTTTACTCACCATGGCCCCACTGACTAACTTTTCTCTTAATTACATTTAGACCTATAATACACTTTCCTTCGAAAGAAAAAACAATAAATAATATCCAGATTTTTCTAAGGTCGGTATCTTGTGCGAGTTTCCTGAAATGAGCTGTCGAACGGTGACCACCACATCTACCTGTTTGATGGGTCATTTTCTCACTCGTTAGCAAGCCAGAACAACCACGTCTTCTCCACCGCCAGCTTTTCGTGTGTTTTAGAAATTTAGAGGACTCAATCTGCTCTAGGAGTTTAAAAAAAAAGGTTTAGTAAGGTTTTACGGCGCTCGCAACTGCATAAGGTCATATGAGCTCCGAGGGGTGGATGTGAACAGAAAAGTCTAAACGGGGAATCAGGCTTATTCTACTCACCTCTCTAGCCTCAACAGCACAAAGTCTGCTTCGACTGTATCAATCAAGTAGTATCACGGCACCCCGGAAACAGCAGTTCATAAAAGAGTGAAAAACATACAACAGAAGTGAGGGAAAAAATGACGATAGTAAGGATGAGGAAAGAAAAAGCAGTAGTTCCCCCATGTATGCTGCTCTGGCACAGTATTAGTATGAGCATGACATTGATAAATCAGCCCATTTACAATTCTACTGTTCGTAAGAACATGTTAATATCCTCCTTTGGGAATGGCCTGAAGACACCTCAGTCAGTAGCACTGA